AATTTAGTATTTCGCATATCTTTTCCGGTACGTTAAATATCGCAAAAAGTAATATGCAATTTTAAAGATTGGAAAATGCTAGACAAAAAATGTACTCTTCACACGACTCGAAATTAATTGGATTATATTTCCTTCCTAAAACCCTTGGATTTAATTTCAATCGCAGCAAATTAAGTTGCCTGGTTTGAAAATGTGCCAAATTTGACAATTTATAGTTCTATTGTATTCGCGAGTTCAAAAGTCCTCTGGTGGTTAAAATTTTAACTACAAGTTAAGTAGTAATTTGACACTTGTTTTGTTGACATTGCTGTCACATTGGTGTTTACATCTGATTCACAATCAGTGATTGTAATTTGTAAAATAAAAATATATGCAGAAAATGAAATTTGGGTTACAGGTAAAGTGCCACTAGCAAAATGAAAAAGAATTTTTGATCGGGAAGTTCGAGATCGCTATGATGAAACTCTGTGCCGATTTTCAATTTGATCCGCGAAGAAATGTTGAGAATAGATCAAAAATAAAAATAAAAAAAATTCATGAGCTGTAACTCGAAAAATATTCAGATTTCGAATTTTTATTACGACCTACTACCATTCTTTTAGCTTGTAGAATCACCCTTGCAAATTTCGGAACACCCTGTATATATGTAAGTAACATTATTTTAGCAAAGTTTGAGGAAAACATTAACAACGTACCAAAAATATCCGAACTGAATGCATATGTTCTTAATCGCTATATGGCAAAAGAATATAAACAATGGGAGGTTGATGTCTTACGATTCTTTTCATGGTACATCAAAATTCCTACAGCAGCACATTACATACATTATTATTTGCAAGCAGTTGTTACAACTGGCGAAGTTTCCAGCCAAAGCGATAGTTTGCGTACTACATTCTACAGAATCCATGACTTGGTGTTGGAATACCTGGATCAAGTGATTGATAGTGAGTATGTTAAATAAGCATAATAAATGAAGTATTACAATTGCATTTTTACAGATATCCATTATATGCAGGATTTTAAACCGTCTCTGTTAGCGGCGGGTATAATTGCAGCTAGTCGATTCGAATGTAGCTTACCTATATGGTCCGACGGTCTTACATTACTCACGGATTACACACAAGAAAACATTCAAGGACTTGTTTGTACATTTTGGATGAACAAGTTAGTATCACATATAATGCGTGTTCCATTGTTTGATTTTTTATTTAACTACATCAGTTATCCATTAAATTAATTAAAAGTATTTTAACTTTATCTGCATTAATTACATTGTTTGAATTTTTGTCATTTGAATCAGAAAAATTGGTAATAAACTGAACTTTGTATCCAAAATTGTTCTTTTCCAGTTATCTAGTTCATTCGCTTTTCCTGTTTATTTAGATCATTTCGCTTTTATATTGAGAGCGGTCAAGCAGGTATTGACTAATAGTATTTATATATTAATAATCATCTTAATTATTAATATCATCTTTAAAACATTCTACACATCATAGTTACTAAAGTGTTAAGCTCATTTCATTTTTACACAACTTGCTCTTTTTTGTGAGAATATCTAAAATTTATTACCATTTCTTAACGCCATCTGTATCGATTTAGAAGTGAAACTTTGATCATAAGTTAACAATTTATTAAATAGAACGTAAAATCATTTTCATTTAATAATTCGATAACTAATGTAATGTTAGTTAATCGAACGGTATGAAAATTTTAAGCGATAAGGCCATAAAATATACATTTAGGCTAGATGAGGGTGCATACTTTCGCATCCCCTACTTGTATAGGACCGGATTCAAATTCATTGAAATTTTTCCAACGTTAACTAATTTAATTGTTGAATAAGTCCATTTCTAGTTTTTGACTGATTTGATGCAACAAATCTTAATAAACTTGTAGCATTCATTCTCCAACTGATCACTATAGGTACTATAATTTGTTAAATTCACATTTTAGGTGCATTGGTAACATCCTATCGTACCCAATTAACATGTGCACATTTCGAGATAATTTGTGCATGAAGTGCGGAATAAGAATTTGCCCGAAATGTAAGTTTTTAAAGAAGATTTAAATGGACAATATTTTGTATAGATGTATATATGCAATGGATAATGCTTTTGATACATTTATGATAAAATTGTCTTATAAAAATGCGTTTGTACAAACGAGGCATATATTTAGTTCAATGTAATATTTAAGAAATGTGCTTAGACGAATGTATAGTTGTTAGTTTCATTAATGTATAATGAATATTAGATGTAAGTTATTTTACGTTTGTATCAATACTTTCGTCAATTGCTAGTTATTATTAACTTAATTAGATAGGTAGTAAGTAATACAAAATAATTTGAGCTTGTAATGTGAAACCACTTTGTAATCAATCTGGTATTGCAGTATACCTATATTTCCCTTACGCTTTGCACAATTTGCGACTGGAAACAGATTAATGTTTGCTCGTAAAACTCACCTGGCCTTTTCAATCAACTCAATTATATCAGAGGCACGTAATGAGAGTTCGTCTAAATTCGATACCCATTTAGCTTGGAGTGATTCTCTGTTAGCTTGTGCTGGTGTTTTGAGGGTGCCTCCAATCACTTTACCAGTCAGCACAAATCTAAAAGGCACAGTCTTACTGTTACACCATAAAATATGATTTATTAGGGATCGTTTATTAGTAACTTTGAGGAAAACATTGCTTTTGTGTGCGAACTGTTTGAGATGATCAGGAATAAGAAGTGTAAAAAAATATAGATAATAAGAGAGAACAATCAATAGTAGTGAAATAACTTGACAAACTATTCACACTGGTAAGATGTAGCATCAGTTCGATTTTGAATGAAAGATAGTTGTATTGGAAACGAGTTTGAATGAATTTTGCAGACTTAGAAGTCAAACTCCTACTTTATTAAATTCAATTTATGTAATCAATAAAAACTGTAAACTTCGATTAGTATATAAAAGCTGTGCCTGTAAGATTGTTAACGTAGAACTAATACCTTAGCCAGACGCCACCAGCGCTTTCCACCATTAAAATTGTAGTGCAGTCAATTTCTAATCCAGTTTCTTCCAGTACCTCCCTTTTACAAGCTTCCACAATCGTTTCCCCTTTCTCCATTCTACCAGCTGGCAAATACCTATCAAACTAATGATTTATCAGCCTCAACTAAATGTTGGAAACTTACCATTTTCCAGCACATGATTCTTTTGCTTCCTGTATCATTAAAACATCATTATGTTGATTGAAAATCACGCAGGCTACAATGTAGGTTACTGTTTCGCCTACAATTGGCTTATAGTGTGGGTCAACATTGGGTTGAATTCCTTGGGACTCCAAAGCTTCATTTTGTTCTTCCAAAGAAAAATCACATATCTCTGCTTCTTCACCAACCAACGGTAATCCATTGAGGACTTTAATCAAGTTTGATTCAACACTATCCGGCATTGTAAGCTAATGTTTCCACTGTTCTACTGTGCCATTGAATTTATGTAGGTATATTTAGTTGTGACACAGAAAACACTTGAATAAATTCAAATATAATTTAAATAAACTAGGTAATATGAGTAATGCGTGTGGAATGCTAAGAATCGCACAAATATGCAGCGAAAAGACTGATGACCCCACTACTAAAAAACACTAGCATTATATGGAAGTCTAATTAAATATCTCTGTCATGGCATTAGGTGTAACACATTCCAGTATAGAACTTGTTTCCTTAACGTTAATGAATGTTACATATATTCAGCCTGATTCAGCCAGCAGCTATTTAAAATTCTAGTGAAAGTTTCTAACTGTTAAAACATTGACAGGACCAAAGTAAACACAAAGTGCGGTTAGAAATGATAAGGATGGAAACGATAAGGATAGATATGGATCTAGCAAAAAGAAAAGATCAGTGGTAAAAAGAGATCGCAAACAAAATTAGGCAAAAATGATATTTAATGAATTTAAAGTGCCCATAACAGAGACAAGACGTTCTGCATTCAAAAGATTTTCGATCTCTTCCGGAATAGTGAGTGATACGCAATGTTGCCGGTCAAAATTATTTTAAATGTTAAATAGAAATTTCTGCTTATTACTTTTCAAAAATCACACGTAATTACATGAAAAGCAGAATCGGCTATGCAATTTGGCAACATGCAGAGGCAATATTGTTCCACAAATTTGCTGGAAGTTAATCAGAGAAGGGCAAGATGAAACATAAAGGATTTTATCCAAGGAAGAAATAATAATTTTCATAAAGGAATTTTAGTGAGCAAAGTGGAGACTGGAATTCTACACAACTCAGAGTGCTGTCTAGACCTCATAATCACGACAACACAAAAAAATATAATAAATGTGAAATATTTTATTTCGGCAATTTGTTGTTTTAATTGCCAGAATACTTTTGGAAAAGATGTGATATTTTTCAAATCCATGGAAATGAACAATTATTATAACTATTAATATACTATTTAATATGAAATAAGGAGTAATATACAGAACTGACATGTTTTCAATCAAGTTTCCATATTCATTATAATTCGATCTAGTCGATTGATAATCGTCATGATCAAACAAATTAATAACAATGTAATGTTACGGTTTGCAAAGCCACAAGTTTGTGGTACAATTTTTTTCAATCAAAAAATAATAATTTTTGCCTTCTGGTCATATTTAAGATATATTAGTCCTTCGCGTTCGAAGCATAGAGTAAGTAAAATAATTTTACTTTCTCTATGGTTCGAAGTTAACAATAGAAGCTCACCTTTTATAGATCATCCCGTAATAATAATTTTTCTTGGTGGTGATTCTTGTGAAAATGCTGTTTTAAATTTTCACCTCTTCATAAACTCACTGGTTTTCCGTAAGATGTTAAAGAACGGCATGAAGTCCCCGCTGTATGTCATTCCGATGTGATAGCGACGCAGCTTGAAAATTTTGCGCATTTGCCAAATTTATATTTTTTGATTTGACTTGAACTTGATTTTTTTATAAAAATCTTTTGTACGGTATTTGGGTCAGTTTCGGTTCATTTCTTGAGCTTCTGTCAGTTTGGTTATCTGCTTTTTAACTAGCTCTAATGGCGAAAAGTAAATAAAACTGATAGAATGCCGCATTGTTAGAAGAAACATAAATGAAAAACTCGTGCATGATACCTTGCCTATACCGTCGGATACTAGTAATTATCGTCAAATAAAAATTGTTTAATTTGCTTCGCACCCTCAATTTGTTAAGCCTCTGTCCCATGCTTTGAATATAAAACTAACTATAATATAATAATAGTTTTATATTCAAAGGTCCCATGCATCCCTTATAGGATGACGAACGAATTGACAGATCTCCAACCAATAGAAACACAATCCAACACTTTTCTATCATCGTATAAACGGATGCATGGGACATGGGCTTTATTGGATGAATAAAACAGAGGTTTTACGAAAGAAATCCTTCTAGCTTTTTGACAAACAAAAAATAGTGTTGAGAATGGTGCTCGCTGAAAAACAACTCGAATGTAGATATTTAATGTCTAAAGGATGTTTAAAAATCAACAACTTTTTTCAAGTATTTGAAAATATTAATTTTCCTGTAAACGAATCGTAAATACGTTTTCCTGTAGAATTCAAAAAAATCCTCTTACGTTATAAATCCAAAGTATTAAAAACGACACTTTGCACTTATTTAATAATTTAATTTTATAAATCTTTAAAATGTGCTTCTACCGGGGCAACATATCAAACTTGCTTATTAACATATTTATTAGACACATATACATTATTGTATAAATACAGTTACAAATATTAAAAGGCACTTGTTATCACAAAGCAGTTTACACGTACCGACTGGTCTGATAGACAAATGCAGTTTCAGAGACAAGACTTGTCTCTGGTAGTTTTGAACTATTATAAGAGAGAAACAAGGGAGTTTGCCAAATGCTTGTATAAGAACGAAAAGAAAGTGGTGGGCGTGGCTTTAATAAAACCAACAAAACCGATTATTATGCTTGGCATGCTTTCGCCAAAATTTGCCCTTCATCTCTTTTCTATCTGATACATACATTGTGTTGTTTAATCGCGTTTCACTCATAAGTTCTTGATTAACAAGCATTGGTTTATCAGTCCAACATGAGCTTTGTTTCTACTCTATTAGAGACCTTTTGAGTATTCGCAACAAACATGATGTTGAATGTTCTGAGATAGAAGCCAAACAAAGCTACAACTAAACTTTTGGGTCAGTCTTAAAAAATAATTATTGTTTCAGATTCTAATTAACATTAATTAATCTTTTACTGTATTTTTTTAAATATTTACATCCATTGGAACCGTAACTAAATATTAAATGCCGCCATTTACTTGTATAAAGTTTCTTATAAATGGCGACGCTATTGAAATTTTAAATTGTTTGCCTGTCCATAAGAAAAATATACATTTCTGCTCACTCTTATGGGGTTCATGACGTAAAAACCGATAAGCAAAATTTCGCAGTTTTTAGTAATTTAGTAATAGTAATTCTAGGCTAAGATTTTCTTAGAATGAACAATACTAAGTACTGGACAAGATTAGTGTACTTATTGTCCAAGAAAAATTTGCGAAAACAGCACCAACTATTATTTAAACACAGCTTTTCCAATTGTTTCATTATTCTGTATATCTAACCTCGTGATAACGCACCAGAAAAGCAGTGTTTAATGCACATATACACCAGCGTCACTTTCACAATGCGATAATTTCAAATGAGTTTTCTTGCATAAAAATACAAAAAAAACCAAGTTAATGCTGTAAAAAAAGCCAATGAACAAATTCTGTTTAGCAAAAAAATCAAACATTAGTTGGTTCAATATGCTGCATGGGAATTGTGAATGACTAAAGTTGAAAAATATATTTAACGTTCTGGACAGAGAAAATACTAAAAGTTCGATTTTATTTACAAAATTTTCAAAAATTATTAAACATACATAATTTAGAGTTTATTCATCAGAGATGTTCGTTTTTTGCAAAGAAACACGCAAAATACGTACATAAATTATTGTTAAAATTTATTTTTTGGGGTACAAGAACGCTTTCTAATCATTTATTTTAATGAAAGCAGTGCATTTATTTATATATTCTTATTTTTATGCAAAATTAATTTCGATTTATATTTAATTGACTTCACCCCACATTGACTGAAATGCTGCATTCTTACAATTTAGTCAATTTAAAAGCGTAATTTCTTGCAAGACTTGACTTACGATCACGATTTTTCGAATAACTATTAGCTTCCTTTTAATCGTATTTTTCACTCAGTTTCACCGATAAGAATATTCCGCTTTTTAATATTCAGGTAATAATTTTTTCTAACATTGAAAATCGGATAATGAAACGAAATGCTTAAGTTACTTTTGGTCCTGCTTTCAATCGTTATCACAATGTATTAAAATTATCAAAATCAGTTTCAAAGAACTAAATTACAGTAAATTAAATTACTTACACAAAAACATCTAACAAAACGGAAAGTTGAGGATTCAAAACAAACATATAGGTACATACTTCGTATTCAGATATCTTGAGATTCAATTGTGCTATATTGGACTTTTCGCGAAACCGCATCGAAAACAGATGGCAATTTCGATCTAATGGTATCCTTCTTCAGATACACATAAGCTGAGATTAAAGTTAACAAAACACATACTAGAACTACCAATAATACTGTTAAACCATTGGATAGCTTGGTTTCCTTTGACTCCACCAAGCTCCTCAAATTAACTATATACCTTTTTCCATACTTTGCATTGGTACATTCAAGCTGATCTTCATTTCTAATTTTTACGCTAGTCTTTTGGCTCCAACTATACAGATTTCGAGCAGCGGAATCGCATTTCAGAGGATTGTGGCCGATTTCTAACAACAGAGGCTCGGTCCTGGCAGGGTCATTAGCCATTTTATCAAATACATCTAAGTCTGTTTGACTGAACTTCGAAATGTTATTATATTCTAAATCTAAATATCTAAGCTTTTGCAAACATAGGACGTTAAAGTTTAGATTTGGAATTTTATTATCACCCAGATAGAGATCATGGAGGTTTGGCAGGTCGCAAAACACTTTATCGTCCTTCCAGCTCTTAATCTCGTTTTGTTCTAGATGCAATTTATACAATTTTGCCAAGTTACTATTCACAAAAATATCATGCAAATCATCAGCTAATTCAGCGTCAGTATTATCCGCAAAGGCATTTGTTAGATGCAACTCTTCGAGGTTCTGAAAATTTGAAAATACTCTCGGATGATGGAAGTTTTTGTCATCTTCTTCGGAGATCGAAATATTATTATGATTTAAAATGAGCCTTTCCACGTTTGTGACATGATGGAAGGTTTTCCCTTTTATTTCCCTGATACCATTGTTGCTCATGTCGATTACTTCCAACTCACTCAGATAGGGGTTTTCTCCAAAAATATTGATCGGTAAAAGATTCAAGTGATTCCCGGTAAATATGAGAATGTTCGTTTGTTCTGGCAGTACCTTCAACATCTCTGTATCTGTGAATCCTGTATTCGTGCAATTGACCACAAATTTTGAATGTGAAGTCCTGTCGATGTACTGTTTCCCGCAAACACATGACTCTAGTAGCTTATTCCCACACTGGTTTATGCTGGCAATCGAAGAACCAAATATAGAGGCAAATAGCAGGAAATTGTGCAGCGGATGATTGGCCATTCTACAACATTAGGAAATTTGTATGAATAAATTAAAAAATGATCAAACTATACTTTAGCATTTATGGGCAGATGTTGAAGAAAATCTAATTTAATGCCAAATGTTTAACGAAGTACGATTATTTGGTATAAGCTATAAGCTATTCTCCGAACGAATATTTAAAATTGGAAATTCCTAATTTGCTCAGTAATCGTTTTCATTATCACTTACCATCGATATTTTGTAAACAACTAGCCACCTTTTACGTACTTACCTTGAGGAAATACGAAATTGTGTCACCAGATTAATTAAATTTTTCAACATATAAATTACTGATCGCGACGGATTGCCTTTGCACTTGACAAAGATTTTCTTTACAAATTCTCAATATCTTTTCATCGCTTTGTTCGGTTGATCACAATATTCAGTTGTTATTGTGTTCTGCGGTTTGACCCTGATTAAAAATTATGGTCTTACCTCGCTCAACAGGTGTGTCCTAAGTAATGATGGTTGCCGCTTGAAAACGTGCAAGTAAATTAAATAAAGAGCACACTCAATAAGTGTATTTTATCTACGGCTGCATTGAGAATCTTTAGTGAACCTTTCATTATGCTAAGAATTCTATATTGCACACATCGTGCTCAAAATAAACTTACCCAGCGCAATATCAAAAATTTCTCTATCATGGTGCGGCCTGGACCTTTATTGATTGATGCTGGTATATCTTCACTTTTTTCAGTGCATTAGAAAGCTTCGAAAATTTGGATCAATTTATCGAAATCCACTTTTCTTTAAAAAAAACTAAAAAGTATAAGCAAGTCAGTAGGTACTAAATCTTGCGTATTACTTCCTGCCTTTTTCAAACTCCTCCTCACTGTTCAGATTTGGAAATTAATTAAACAAAAAATGTTAGACGCGTACTTTTCTTACAATTTTTCTCGGCCGATGTTTTGTTTATTGTAATCATCACTACCAAACGTGATAATTATGGGAAAAGACGTGAGAATATACGTCGAAGTACCGTGATTATCACGACAAACTGTTACATTAAAATCACGCCACCAAACGACGTAAACGTGCTTTCCAAGCTGCACCATATAGTTGAAATTACAAATTGCCTAATAAAGTAAAGAAAATAAGTGATTATAAAGGTGACAAAATCATAGTTATTGGAAAAATACATACTTAAATGATCGTAAAGGGCGGCCACAATAAAAACGCAGAAATCGCCATATCTAACAGTTTCAGAAATGATCTAAGTATCTCTCAAACAAAATGTCATAAGAAAAAAAAATGAAAATAACTCTGCGAAGACATCCAAAACAGTTGGCGATTTCTATTAGCTAAATGTTCGCGATTTGTTTACAAAATATGTAAAGCAAAATTCTGTACTGAAAAAGAAACCTGCGTTTCTTAAACTTTTTAAAATCCCAATCATGAAACACGCATGAGAAACACACTGTATTTTCGATCTTCCAAACTTTCGATACGCACTACTGAATAGAAAAACAGAAATTCCGTCACTTGGTTTGCAACATCCGAAATTATTTAATGCATCATACAGCCATGGAAGAATTAAAATATGTAAAAACAAACCTAAAATACATAAATAAACAACTCTTTAGATGCCACGGCGCAACAAAAGATAAAAAACCAATTTCAATAAGTGTTAAACGAATGGTATTTAAATAAAACCACAAATCTTAATATAATATATGCATTTTTATTTTTCAACTGAAATAGGCGAAATAAACAATTTTTTTTAAATCACAAATCATATCACTCCTGTTTTCTAACGACCTGACTTGAAGTTATAGTACACTTAGTGAAGCGACGGAATAAATACTATATGCTCGAAAATTATATGCAACTGCCGAACATGAATAACGTATTATCTGCTTATGCCATTAAAGGCTTTCTAGCAATTATACGATAAAGACTTTTTCAAAATTAATTGCTAACGTACTTTAGATGCTGATGATTAAGCTGCAGATGCAAGTAGCATGCTAAAATTTCAAGTTATTACAGACCTTTTCGGACTAATTACACATCTAATTGTGTAGTTTAATAACACTAAGTGTAGTATATGGTTAAATTGGTCACACTAACTGCACCAGCTACTCTACGAGTAAGACTCACTATTATCGTACATTCTGACTGAAAAATTAAGTTTAATATTAAATAGCCATCATTAACCAAACCAAGAACCATCCGTGCGGATTAATAAATTGCATGAATCGTTCAGCTGTTAGCGTAGATATATTTTGCAACATAAAACATTTTGCCAATACATTTAAGTGAGCTCTGTATCTCGAATTCTCCAGTGTTTTCATCTAATTGATTTTCCAAGAGCTAAATAACTTGTAATGGATCGGTGGAAAATGTGTGTAATGTCCGAGCTTTACTCGGCTTATAGTTTCTTTAACAAAAAAATTATCAAACTTTTGTTTAGACAACACGTTATTGGCTTGTACCAGTAGCAAAATATTCGTTTTGATTAATAGTATTAAAAAATGTAAGTGAAAACAAAGAATTTGACGCTGAATATTAAGGTTCCAAATAGGCGATAAAAACTTTTAAGTCCTTTACTTAATACGCGATTTTTTCTTTTTCTTTCTTTCCGGTTTTCCCAGTTCTGTGGCACTTACCAATCGCCGGAGTGTTTGTTTTTTAAATTTGGACTTTAGTGTGTTTTTGGCAAAATTATGAATGCGAAACATGGCTTGTTTACTTGTGCCAGGCTCGGAGGGCGATTTGTTGTGTATTAAGTGAGGCGCGGACAATATTCTCGATTTGTGTGTAAATACAGTGGCTTTCGATGTTGGCGCGTCCCAAGACACCACCAAACTATCATCAAACTCTTCGCTTTCTTTGTTTTTGTACTTCGCAATCATAGTTTTTCCTTCCTGGTTCTTAATAAAGCAAATTTCCCTCAGATGCAAGTCGTCATCCTCGTTTCCATTTTCAGGCGTTTGTGTATTATGATCTAGTTTGGTTTTCTGTGTTGCTAGCGGAGTTGGTACTACTTTCTTGCTTTTAACACTTGAAGGTTTGACCAACTTATCGATAGCAGCATTTTTAGTCTTCAACGACAATTCTTTCCTGCTCTTTGCTTTAAAAGGTCTATTCAATCTCACCGACGATTTAGAGCAGCTGGGTTGACTTAGCACGGGGTGCACTAAATTCTCCTTACGTTCAACTGGGACAGAAGTTCTCGATTTGTTCAATTGCTTCACTGACTTTCTGATGGGCGGTCGGCTTCGCTGGGCAACACCACTTCGGGTTTTCCCCTAAAGCAATAATAACCTTACCAATTTTATTTATTGTACGATACAAAAAGTGCACTGCCTTTTCTTCTACATTGACTTATATAAGTGGGGATCGAACGTAACGTTACGCACATTGCAAGGACGTTGAGTTTAATACCTTCAGCGGGAGCTGCCAAAGAAAAAAATATAATTTTTTTAACAAAAAAAAGTACAACACATATTTGGCGTAGAAAGTCCCAGTGGTGTGTGCTTTATTGGCAATATGTAAATTAACAAACGGAGAGCATTTAGTACCTTTATTAGAACCAGACGCTTTGAAAAAAATACCCAGATAAGAATGAACATTGTTAATCATTATGTTGCCTTCATTGATTTTAATTTACATATTGCGAATAACTTTCGACAATCCCATATATTGGTTCTGGGAAGTGTAGCAAAACGATACAAGAAGCTAAAACAACAGATATTAAGTCAATAAAAATGAAAACAAATGACGTAAAAAATATTTAATTTAAAAATGCATATAAAAATACAACGATAAAATTAATAAAAGCGAAGATATTTAAAATATTACAGTGCAGTGAATTCGAGAATTAGACAGACAAATCTATCTACAACACTTTGATCACAGATTGGCTTGTTAAGACATTTTCCATGCATGTATGTGCTAGAAAATATAATTTCAAAATTGCTTCAAAACACTGTTTCTACTAAGTGCCAATATTGTTTCTAAGTCCTCTAGCGATTTCAAATTAGAGTATTTCTTGATATCCACTAGAGAAGTCAGTGCAATTAAAACAACACGTTGTCACTTAGCACATATTCATGTACTAATTAAATTTGTTAACATAAATGCTAACCTTTAAGAAATATAATTCTAGTTTTAGTTCCTTTTCAGTGGCTTTTAGTGGCATAGATTTAAAATCACAATCAATTGTCAAATATCGACGCTATTCCTCTCTGTTATTGCTTATAATTTTTAAAGGCATTAAACTTGTTTAGCACAACGTACAAGTAGTTATGTAAACGGGAATATCATCGTTATTTTCAAGTCCTACCTGTGTATGAGAGCCAGAAGTTACGCGCATTCTGGATAACTTAGGGCGTGAGTCTCCAAAATTATTTGTGCTGCAACTATTGCGCAACCAATCTCTCAGTCCACTTAAATTGTGAAATTCCGAATTAGGCAAACGAGAAAATGGATTATGACCAGTCAGGTCCAGAATTGAAGCGCCTAGTGACTTTCCAACCTAAATCATACATAGATTGTTTTTATATTAATGAATAAAATTTTGCAATGTGACGCTTTAACACTTACCTCTTCAAATAATTGCGGTGTATATTTCGGAGGAACCGGCAAGGTATGAACTTTACCTGAAGCTTCTTTTACAGTTGGAGGTAACACGTTAACAAGTCGCCCGGTATTATAATTACATTCGAGGGTGTAACTTCGAATAATACCTGTACATGATAGTACAGCTACTCGGCCTGATCCTGCTCTGCTCATTCCATCACGTTTATCCCTACAATTAAAGTTTGAACAGTTTTTTTAAATTTCCCAGAAGAAAATTAAGTCGATTCATTCACATATACGAATATCCTTACCTGAGATACATATTTCTTTCGGTAAAATTGCAGCCTTGAAAATGGAAATGATGGTCATTCAATCCCATAAGTTTAGGTAGCAGCATGCATTCGACTCTGCGTTCTAAGTCATCGAAGTGATTGCCATACATAAAAATGCCCTTCTTAGATGCATGGCCATGTAAATCCAAATAAATAAATAGTCCCGATTCATTAGAATTCACATCTCCATGATGATCCTCAGTCACAGTCTCAAAATTCACTTCTTCCTTACTTTCAGTGTGAATTAACTTGCATCCACACTGACGGCAAAAATTGTGCCCTAGAGAATGCGATGGAGGGTTAAACGTTGGTACTAAGCTAGATATTCCCGGCATTGTTGGCTCTAATTTTATGATGCTCGCCTTACATTTCGTGCACCAATGCACGCTATTATTTTCCCCACATTCTTCGTTTAGTGTCATATTGGACAATTTGTTCACGTTGTCTGTTTCACAAGTATGAGCCTGATTGCTGTTAGGGTTCTTTTCACACATTTCGCATTTTGGAATTTTGTCTTCCTTTTCAAATCCAAAGTGGTGATATCTAAAAACAATTCGCTATTCTAAGTACAATAGGAGGACAAAGAACATTCAAATCATCGACTTTATTAGTACAAAACGCACCTGATTAAAGAGCGCGCTGCATAGACGGAAGGATGTTCAGTGAAACTCGGGTTTAAATAGACTCTATTTAAGTTAACGCCTCTAGTATCGGTTCTATAATGACCATTGGCTACTCCGTCGGGATTTAAAAATGGTATGAGTTTAAACACGTAATGCTTCCGTAATATTTGAGCCTGCAGATCATCTCTACTGAGCAGGAAATTGAGAACGCCATTGAACACAAATGAGGAAGGAGTTTCACCAGGATGCACTCTTGCAGATATGAATATCACCTTTTTTCCAATAAACTTATGTGGTCGTGGAACGTTTTTTGAAGGAAATAGATTTTTCAATCTATCTTCTCGTTCCATCGTTATTCCGTGATAGGAGGTCAGTGTGATCAGATCGATATTTCTGCCTTCCAATGATAGACAGGCAGTTTCACGCACATAATAAATGTCATCTTCTGCGATGGGCTGAATCGAAATATACTTGGTATCTATGTTGGTGAGCATTTTTTGTAAATCACTATACGAAAATGGATATGTGAATGCGAAATATGTACAACTTTCCGGATTTTCTGGCGCTCGAAATTTGAAGGATAAAGTGAAAATATCCTCATTGGTCTAAAAGGGAATAAAGCATTTACGTGCCTATATTATTATCATCGGGAGTTCTAACATACATTGTATATAGGTTTGTCTTGAATCCGTTCCCATTTCGGCCTTCCGGGTATAATTTTATATACAGGGGCCATTCCTTGACTATACATTTTTCCTTGTCTGTTCAAGTCCACTAAGTTAAGTCTTACTAGTAAGCCAGGTCTTGGAGCTGAACGATAGGGAAGACGTTTTATAACATCGGTTAAACCACATACACTATTATTATGAGTGGATGTAAAATCAAGTAATACCTTTAATTCCGAAATAAAACCATGTTCTATTGCCATTTTCAAATTCCGTTCCATAGCAATCTGGTTTGGTCCAAAGATTAAATTCTGCATCGGGAATTTCAACAGCACTGACTTTGCTACTTGAGCTTGGTTTCACTACAGCTAGAAATATAGCATCTATTTACTAAGGCGATTTTTATGGAGCTTTAGGTTCATATAGATGATGTTTATTTATCATCAATTGGGCGCAAGTAAATAAAGCAGTTAATTTGTGTCTCCAAATGTGAAGGATATTTTGTAACTTTTTCTTCGAAGAGTTAAGTCGATTAAGCGCTTTTCGCCGGATTTTTAAGTTCTACTGAGTGCTAATGAACAAGAATTGTACAGGATCAATAATCATTTGCGAATTACAAACATATGTCCGAAAAAAAGTATTTTTGAGACCCAGGGTGTTTCTGCAGATTTTAACAAGACATTCGCCGTTTGTTGCTAACAGAACAAGGTATCTTAACTATTAACTGCACCAATGTGTGTAAAAAAGCCAAAGTATCACGAAATAATTTGATATGGAAAAACTACGCTTTAAGTCCCAGATAGTGCATAGAAATTTAAAATAAATTAGGTACCTAGTGGGACAAAACATTGTTAGGGTTGATTTACATGAAATATCAAATCTGATCAATACTCAAACCTCAAAAGGTAATATTATTTCTGTCAGGAGAAAAATAATCCAAAATATCAGTTTAACATATAAGTGAAAACTAATTAATGATTAACAAAATTCTTCTTGGAACTAAATTGACGGATGAGTGGAAATTCCGTTAAATAAAAGAAGCTTCAGGAACACGTTATAAGTAACTAAGTAGTCAATACCTAAACTATTCGAATTTGTGATCAGTTGGAAAGTGCTAATTCAGATGAATACAGGGTGTCCCGTAAACCGTCGACAATACTTCGCCTGGTGAATATGAAAGGTCCATCTTTGAGAAGTCAGAAAATGAAAAAATTGCATAATAAAAATATCATGGTTTTCGAAATATGTACATATTTACACTTTTTTGAAATTCGGCCAAAAATAACATCCGTTTATATTTCGTACTATTACTCAGTATTACTTATGTAACATTACGCAGAAAATATTTGTTTTGTATTTTAGCAGGCATGGATCGTAGTTCAAAAACTCATCGAAATATTTTGAATGTATGCTTCAGATTAGAAAAGAGCTCTATTTTAATACACATTATTCATTCCTTATATAACTCCATTTCTATCATACATAGTACGATTCTTCTGCATTGAAAAAGTAGCACCTTTCTTCTGCAATCTGAAATCGTATAATAACAACCTATTTCTTAAACAGTAACTATTTTTAGTTGCCCTACCACTATGCATTGATTGTAAAAGAACACCTAAATTACGTTTTTTATTTAAATCCACTAGATTTTTGTAATTGGGGCTCTCTGAAAGAAAAAGTTTACATACGACCTGCAGACTCGCGACGCGCTACGACAAAGGGGTTTTAGAGCAGGGCAGGAAATTAGCCAAGCTCAATGGCACTGAATAAAATGATGCCGAGCCTGCATATGGGCAAATGGGGGCCACTTTGAACATTTCCTTTCAGTTAAGTTTTTGGCGTTATTTGGAATAATATTTTTGGAACACAACATATTTGGAATAATATTTCGTATTAATTTTCGTTGGTAGCACATTTCAAAGGTATTGTTATGTAATGGAAAAATTGCACATGCCTCAGCAGCTCAGTCATAAGAAATGTGTATTAAAATAGTTTTTTTTCTAAATAAATAGCATACATTCAAAACTTTTTGATGAACTTTCGAACTACAACCAGTGCCGAATCTAAAATACAAAGGAAATATTTTGTGAGTAATATTACGTAAGAGTAATAGTATGAAATATCAAGTGATGTCAGTTTTGGTCGAATTTAATAAAAGTGTAAATATCTCGAAAATTATGACATTTTCATTAATACCATTTTTTCATTTTCTATCTTCTCAAGGGGGGATCTTTTACCAGGAGAAGTACTGTAGACGGTTCACGGGACACCCTGTATGCCAGAGGCAATACCTAAATTAATAATATAATGGAATATTAGTTGCAAATAGTAGTATTGAAGGAATAAATATGCAACCATTTGATCAACTCTAGGTAATTATTTCACTTTCGCATTCATTTAGCAATGAGTTATCCTTTGTAAAATGTTATGCATGTTCTTAAATCTAAAATACATTCATCAGAAAAATATAAATTTTGCTCAACAATAAAGTGCATTTATTTTTAAGAATATCAAAAACTGTTTTTAAAAAAGTTGATTAGAACTAAAAAATCCGTTCAAACATGCAACCACATCCTGCTACGTAAAAAAAATCCTATTTTTGGATACAATAACAATAAGTAAGTTATATACAGTAAAGTCCGCTTATAATGAACCCAGTTATAGTGTACTTTCGGTTAAAACGAACTTTTTTCCTTTAATTGAAACGTTGTCCATAAAGACCAACGTATTTTTTTACTGGTTATAACGAACCCTTTTATAACGAACTTCAGGATATAACGATCACTTTTTAGGTTAGTTGTATATTAACTTTTCGTTTATAACGAACTTCCACGCTCAGCAACACGAATCGTGCGGAGTTGTTTATATTAGTGAGAGCGAGAGACAGGCAGTGACTTGTTGTTTTTTG